TGCCTCCTCCTCACCCCCTTACTCTTTTGTCCTCCCCCTCCCCCTGCGCAGGGCTCACCCGTTGCCCAGGAAACAGTCCCAATTGTGCTGTTAACAAAGGCAGCAGAGGCTTTCTTGCCTCCCGGGAGGTGGTCCCCTCCGCCCCGCACCCTGACCCCCTCGAACCCTGCTCTCCTCCCTCTTCTTCCCTCCCTTCCTCCCTCCTCTTCCTCCGCCCTGGTGATGCATCACTCGTCTCCATGGCGCTGAGCTTGGAAATGTGGAGAATTGGAATGGCAGCAGAGGAGAAAGGGGGGAGAGAAAGGGTCAGAAGCAGAGAGGGGGGTGAGGGGAGGAGAGGTGACCGAGAGGTATTTCTAAAAGAGAGACTCAACACAGACCAGTTGGCCTCGGTGGGCTTCTTTGTCAGCAATTCATCAGTCACTAAACTCTCAGCAGCAGACCCCGAGCCTTCATTAAAAACTAATTACTTTAGCATTAGGCGATACATGCGGCCACCCTCGGATGACTTCATATGAATAGGCCGTATTAATATTTAATATCTTGATCTGATTCAAAACACGCCGGGTAATCTCAGAAAACCGGCGAGGTGAAACTAAGGTCAACGCTGTTTTTCTGCGTCCATCAAAGGCTGGGGATTAAAACTAAAATATGCAAATATATGCAAAATGACACATTAGGTAAACTCATGCATGTTAACCACATTGGACTGCATGCCAAAATAAATCTGATTTCAAATAATATCCCCCAATGTTTTCCTCATTGCAGTTTGTGAAAGATTTCAGTAGTTATTAGACACGCTAAATCAGCCCAGTGGTTTCCAGTCTCAAAGCTGATATGTGCCGCTTCATCAGAGACCATTCACATATCAGGGAAGGCAACAGGGCTGAGGCAATTCACTACAGTAAACAAGCGTTGGTCAGTACTCTCTACCACAGAATGATATAGCAGTAGAAACTCTGCTGTAAGGAATACAATCTGTTTCAGCTGACTTATTGTCTCCCTCTCATATGGTCATGGCTGACTGGTACACTTGTGTCAAATGTCTACTGTAAAGAATACTGTTTACAATGCAGTCAAACATAAAGTAAGACAGGACTGGGGAACATAAGCTTCTTCTGATGGATGGAGAGATAGTTCTTCCTACATTTATTTGTAAGTGTTACATGTTGTTTAAAGAAAAAAACGTTTCTTCTTGCTATGACACTTTAGCAGAAAACAGCCATCTGTCTACGTGCATCATCCAGCTCTCTTTTTTGTATTTTTTTCTTCAGTTTTCGTTTTCACGACTGGTCAATCGCAAAGGTAGTGTGGGTAGATCGCATGGCATTGAAAAAAATATATATAGGTAAGCCAGTCTGAGTTGTAATGTGCCATACGGGTTCACACAGTTCTGAGGGGGCCTCACCTCATCATCTGAAGCGCAAATGTGGCGCACTATTATGCGCTTATGCAGCGCAATTATTGTAAGCGCGCCACAGTTTATCCGCCGTTTAGTCTACTACCCCCC